TGATCTTTGACTATTTTGGCTGATGCAAAATAGTCAACTTCACAGTCTGGATTTTTAGTAAATTCAAATGTGATAAACATTCTCAACAGCAATGTTAGATTGGACCTAAGAGAATAGGGTTTTTGGAGATTGGGGATTCATCTTGGGATCCTGCTGGGCCATAGTATAATTCAGAGTCCTGAAAACAGGGGTCCCTGTGTAATCAGATTAGGGGTCAAAGTCAGGAGGTTGGGCCTGGGGACACGCTTGGGAATTAATCTCTCCCCCGATACTTAGAATAACACAGTTGTGTCTTTTCTCACAACACACAGCAAAGCTCTCTCTCCTTATTCCAAATCTCCTGGCTCTTTCTTTCCAGTTTTTGCGGCATAGAGGTAAACGCTCACACACACAGTAGATCTTCAATATTTGCTGGTTCACATGAGCAATTTCGTCTACTGGCTAAAATGTAACAGCAACCCCCAGATCGATACCCTTGGCACTCTTGCGGTCATTCTCAGACACATGCAGGACAGCAAAACTTTTGAGCCATTGGCTGGACCTGCATGTTTCCAGCTGAGGGCAAATGGGGTGACACTCTGCCTTCTAGTTTCGGTTCTCACACTGGAAACCAGTGTCCTCTTTGTGGCCTATGTAGTGTCCTGTTTTTGGCATTCTTGTGCTTTTTGTTGGTAATATCACTGTTTAAAATGGCCCCCATGCGTAGCACTGAGATGCTATCAAGTGTCCCTCAGCCCAAGAAGGCTGTGATGTGTCTTATGAAGAAAATGCATGTTTAGATAAACTTTGTTTAGGGATGAGTTACAATGCTGCCTGTTGTGAATTCATTGTCAATGAATCAAAATATTTCTTAAATAAAATGTCTTTAAACAGAAACACAAAACAAGGTTATGTGTTGACTGATTGACAAAAACGCTGTGACCAGCAGCTGACAGGAACCTAGCCCTATATTTCCCCCAGGAGTGGAGGTTCAGTAGCTGCCAGGTCAATGTCTGTGGTGACTTTACAGAACACAATGGGAATAACAAGAAGCAACTGCCTGTCTGCACATGCACATGTGAAACAACACAGTTACGTTATTTAAAACAAATCTTTCACCCCTAGAGGACCCCATCTCACCTGGGTTGTCCCTCGTACTTTATATTCCTGAATACTTATAGGAGTTATGGATTGATGCTTGTGTCCCCTCAAAATTCATATGCTGAAATCCTAAGCCCCAGTGTGATGGTACGAGAGGGTGGGGCTCTGGGAGGTGATCAGGTCGTGTGGGATTAGTGCCCTTACAGTAAGAGCCGGCAGAAAGCTTGCTTCCTCTCTGCTCTCCACCACGTGAGGACACAAGAAAGTGGCTGTCCTGAAACCAGGAGGAGGGTGCTCACCAAGCACCCCACCCACCATGCTGGCACCCTGATCTCAGACTTCCTGCCTCCAGATCCATAGGGATAAGCGTTTGTTGTTTAAGTCACTCATTCTGTGGTGTTCTGTTAGAGCAGTCCAGCCGAACCACCCAGGGACAGAGTTCTGAGGGGGAACCAACCAAACAACCAGAAACCTGCTCCTCCTTCACCATCTCAAGTCACAAGCAGCAGGGAGGGGACGCTTCCTACTCCCATTCTTTTCAGAGCAGAGCTTGGTGAACCTGAGAAATCTCCACTCCCCCTGTGTCACTCTCCGGGGCCGGGGTCAGCTCCGAAGCACCGAGGCCAACATGCCTAAACATGGACATAATGTCTGGAAACACAGACGGACAAGGGTCACTTCCTTGTCCAGTATCCCACTCAAATGTAAGCCTGTGTGGTGATGAAAAATACTGACATATTTTAAAATATCTTAATGCACCAGGTTTGGGGATTTAATCAATTTTGGCAGTAGACATGGTGAATCTTTCTTTCCAAGAGACAGCGATGAGTCAAGCTCATTACTAAGCAGTGGGAAAGAAAAAAGACTTGATCAGATGCTTCTGCTCAGTGGAGTTTCCATGTTACCTTCTCTGGCCAAAATCTGCCAGCTGTCTCTAAAACTTTAGAAAAATCATGATGCTTAAGAAATATTTATTTCCTAGTTCTGTTTATTGGGGAAAAACCCTGTAAATAAGGATCAATCCTGTAGCAATGAGCCTCCCGAGCACTCAGACTGAGGTCGCTGGACAAGATGTTCTGCTGAAAGCAATGCTGATTCCAAGTTCAAGGCAGGAATGTCCAAGATGAGCCTGGAAGCAAGAAAGCTCTTAAAGACACCTGCGATCGTATCAAAAGACATGGAGGCCACCTGGGAGAGGGGAGATACTCTAAGCACCAGTAAAACTTGTAACTTCCATGGATTAAAACACTTCAAATATGTCTAAATGCATGAGTTCATAATATTCATACAAATCCTTTGGAGAAAACTTGGTGGTCAAGTCATTACTTTAAAAAGTGGCAAATCAAGTTCCAAGCATTCATTCTGTCTTTCCTGTAAATACTGTACTTCAGAGTAACAAACAGTGGATGAGGGAAGTTTCCCTTTATAAAGCATCCCAGCCAATAAATGAAGAAGGGATGATGGAGTTTGACCTTTCTGCAGCCCCTAATTCCCATGTTTTGTTTTGTTTTTTGGGGGGGTGGTAATTAGGTTAACTTATTTATTTCAATAGAGATACTGGGGATTGAACTCGGGACCTTGTGCATGCTAAGCATGTGCTCTAGCACTGAGCCATACCCTCCCCCCCACTGCAGCCCCTAGTGAAAATGGATCTAGGCCATGATCATCAACAGCGGCTAATGTCACCAAAAGGGAGAGAGGCAGCTACTTTGTGAGCCCTGACATAACCACATTATGCCTACTTACGAAGGAGTTTTGCCAAAAACAAAGCAGAAAAACCCAAACCAGATTCTGATCAGCCTTCTTGATCTAACAACCTCTTTACAGGAAATATAGGAGACAGAACAGCACACTCAGTGTGACCAAGGGACTGCAACCAGCAAAGTTCAGACTGTGGAAACCCCACAGGACTCACAACCCAGCTTCCTCAACAGACTAACTGAATGGGAAAGAGTGGGAAAGGAGCTTCTAGGTTGAAACTTAAGAGACACATTTTGACCCTGTTCTAAACAAATAAGCTATAATTAAAAAAACATTTGAGGCAAAAAATCCTGTAGCAGTCTGATAAGGCGATCAAACTGTAGCATCAGTAAGACATGGATGGTTTAAGAAAAGGACTGGAGACTCAGATCTGGTTTGGAGTCCCGCTTCTCACTTGTAACCTTGCAGAAATCATTCACCCCCTCTTCGTCTCCATTTCCTCACCTTTACCATGGGATGATCAGGGCTCCCTCATAAGGATTTTGTGAGGATTAAGTAACACAACACACGTGGAAACCTTTTGTCAACCGTAAGACATGTTCCAGGACTAAACACGAAAATATTCCAGGAGAGCAGTCCCACATGAAGAATTTTAACACAATGCTTCTGGGGTCTGAAGCATATCCTTATGGGGGTCTGTGGTCCACATGCCTTCCTATGGGCCTCCAAAGAGACAGCACTGCTGTATCTGAAACTGTCCTTTATCCACACTTCCCGCTGATGCATGGCTGACTCACCTGTATCACACACTTTGTGTAGCAAGCATTTATCTTCCTCATTCCAGGTGTCCAGGTATTCATCTGGGCCACAGGGCAGACAGACGCTCCCAGAGGTAGCGGTGCATTTGGAAGACATGTATTTTCCTTAAAGCAGAAAGGGAAAAAATGCACCAATCAAAAATACACTCTCCCCCCAAAACCAAGAAGTCCACAAAAATGCACCAGTCTGTTGAACCCTTTCCTTGATCACGATCCCAGGACATTCCCCACAGCCGGAACGACACGTGAAGTGTGGCCACAAGTCACAGTGACGGCTTCTCAGGCCTACCTGCTGATTCAGATAACCTCTCCTGGGTGTGCTGTGGCTGTGGTCACGGCGGCCTTTTCATTTTTCTAAGTAAAAGATCACCCTTTCCAGCCCAAAACCTCTGCTGACTAAGGAAAAGAACAATGGTTTTCAAACTGGTGCCGGCAGGACTTGAGGGGCTCCCTGGGAGCTAAGCAAGAGGAACTTCATCTCACCCCTCCCCTCCCGTCTTCAAATCCTCTCTACTGTCAATCTGGATAGTGAACTACTTTTGTTTTACGTACACTGTGGGCTCACAGTTAACTTTGTTTGACACACACACACACACACACACACACACACACATACACATGGATCTTTGTTCTGCACATCCAAGAAGCATTTGTAGCTGAAATAGCTAAAGGATCTTGTTATAAGGTAAACACCTTTGACTCAAAGCTACTCTGCCCTCCCCAGAATGCTGAGTGAGGACCCTGTGGACCTGAGGCTTTCCTGAGGCCATAGAAATACTTGGCCATGTTCTGGCAGAAAACTCTGGGACATGGTGACCAGTCCACCTTCCACACCTGAGCAGGTGTGGGGGGAAGTTATAACAGGGTTTAGACAATTTTTAGCAGCAACAATTCCAGTATACTTGTCCCCAAAAATTTCTGTGAAAAGAATACTTTCAAATAAGAGTGGCATTTCCTATTTTGAAAGTTTGAATCACAAACTGCCAGAAGAGGTGTTTAAAAACCATCTTGCCTTCTCAAATAGCGTTCTGGAAAACAGGTATTTAATTCATCTTCCAGCAGCTACTTAATTCAAGTACCAGTTTCTGAAACTGCTTTTGATTTTTAAATGATTTCATCTTTTGAGAGAAAGGTTTTTGTGTTCAGAGTGACATAGATAAAAAGCCTAACCAATTTCTTTTTTCATCTAACAGGACAGAAATCATTCCTCAGATTAGGAAAAAAAAAAAGCCCCACCCACCTTGGAAGGACAATGAAAGGAGGTTTAGAAGTACAAACCCGGTTCACATTTGCTGCAGCATCGTCCAAGATGCTCGTAATGCCTCTCACTGGCACACGGGGGAGTGATCTGGAAAGTTGCCTAAAGAGAAAATGCACGTCAGGTAGAGATTAGGCACAGCTTCTTTCTGGAGAAAACAGAAAGAGAATTACTGACTCACATTTCTGAAAAGAGTAAGAAACCACTATAAACAGTCCTGAAACTGCTCTGCATAATATCACCCCCACCCCCCAGCCAAAATGTCACTTTCCTACTGTAGCCTGTTTCTCCCAACAATGGGCAAAATCAGCTGACACTGGAATCAAACGCTTTTAAGCATTTTAAAATATGTCGGTTATGCTCATAGGTAATAGGATGGGTAAAGGGAAATTTACAAACGGTACACAGAAGGCTGAAAATTGCTTGACATAAGCCACATACAGAATCTGTCCCACTGCTGTGTCATCTCATGGTGGATAATGTGTTCAGTCAATGTTGGTCATAAAACTGTTGAAAGACAGAGTGGGGCCCCTTAATACGTATATTATACCAGGTCAAATGTGGTCTTACAAGCTATCTCTGATTTTGAAAGGATGTTTAATACTGCTTACCTTTTAAATTTTTAAACAGGTGGGGAGGGATAAATTGGGAGTTCAGGGTTTGCAGATACTAACTACTATATATAAAATAAAAACAAGGTCCTAGTGTATAGCACAGGAAATTATATTCAACACCTTTTAATGGCCTATAATGAAAAAGAATATGAAAAGGAATATATACGTATAAATGAATCACTATGCTGTATACCAGAAATTAACACAACATTGTAAATTGACTATACTACAATATAAAAAATAATTAATGAAAAAAAATTTTAAACATGCAGAGAATTTTAAAAATGGGACAGCAAAAAATGGGGTCATAGGAAGCGTGTGGGCTTGGAGCCAGGAATCCTGCCCACCTGCCGGCTGAGGGATCCCAAGCAGGCAGGCTGCTTCAGCTTTTTGAAACTCTGTCTCCTTTCTATATGATTCTAATACCAACATTAATGTCCAAATCTGCTCATCTAAGCAAAACAAAACAAAACAAAAAGCTAGGTCCCCTACAATCAATCAGAGATTCTTATCAGTTTGCTGCAGGAGAGCTCTTTTCCGTATCAGCTTTCTCAGTGTCAGAAAAACAACACAAACTCCTGTTGACAGGCGGTTGTGTTAGAAACTGAATGGTGAAATGGAAGAGTTGGGCTGAGCTGAACAGACTTCACATCATGCACACCAAGGGTCAAGTTCCTGCTGGGTCCCGGGGATGCAAAGTTACAACCTTGTCCTCAAGGGGCTTCCACACACCGGGGTGTGGGCTACCATTCAGGCAGGCAGGGGGACCCTGACCTCAGCTGATGGCCAGGGGAGGTGTCCTAAGGGATATGACAAGAGTAGTCTCACTGGTTAAAAAGAAATCGGCCTGATGAGGAAAAAGGTGGAAGTAGAGGCAGGGCAGAGAAGGCTTCTTTGGTAGAGTGAAATGTTCAAATGGTAGTGACACTGAGGTCTGAAGTGACACATGGGGTGGGGTGGAAGTGGCAATGGAGACCATCAGCAGAGTTGTGGGAGGCCGTACCAATCATGGACAAAGCAATCGGTGGGCTTCGCCTGCATGCTAAAGAGCTCGGATGGAAGGTGTAGCAATAACGTGGCTTGGAAGAAGCCATGCATCCTCAAAATATCTCAGTTATGGAAGAAAGTTTTATACAGAAAACATCACAGCCAGAAAACCCCAGGTCAGCTAAGCAGAGCAGGTGGGTTGCTCCAACCACCCCCTGGCTTTCAGGAGGGATGGGGACAGGGACAGTTACTCTGAGGTCGATGAGAATTTCAAATGTGTTTCTGGAGCCAGGTGTGCCAGGAAGGTTGTATTTGGACTTGCTTCCTACGCCCGGCTAACACTCTCCCTGGACCCCAGATAACGCAGATTGATGTCAGTACATTCACCACGTGATAGGGTTTAAGGACCACACTGTAAGCCTAGTGGATATTAAGAAGAATGATGTAACAGAAATCACTTCCTCCTCTCTTTTCTGGTCTCTTTTTCTCTGTTTTTATAGGCATCATGACAGTTTCTCTGTGTCTGGCGCAGTGATGTGTGCACGTGGAAGAAAGACGTAGGGACGCAAAATGGTGCAGCTGAATGCAGTCAGTTGATACGTGACTGCTCCTGCAACGCTGATGACAAAGGCAAACAAGAGGAATGCGTGCTTGGGCTGTATTTCAGATGTTAAAGATTATCGAGTGCTTCTGACCTATAAGAAAGCTGCAAGCGTCTCTCTAAGATAAGCACAGACCTTGGCGGTGTCACACACACGGGTTCTTTTTAGGGGAATTTGGTAAAAGGGCTCCCCTGAGGCAGCAGCTTAGCAGCACCGTCAGGCTGCTCCAAACTCTGGTACCTGGTGAGCATCATCTACCTGAATGTGTGGACAATTTGTTTACACGTTTAGGAGCATGGCTGTGATTCCTTCAATCCATCCACCATCTAACCCAGGGGCTTAACACCTCCTGGCAAAACTGAGGAAGTCACAGATTCCAGAGGTGACCAGATGTCCTTGCACTAAAACAGATTTTCACAGATTATTCCTTAGAATTCATTTCTTTCTCCTAAGCTCACTGTGACTTTACACTTGGACATGTCTTCTTTTTTTTTAAATCGAGATATAACTCACATACCATAAAATTCACCCTCTCTAAGGGCACCATTTAGTGGTTTTTAGTATATTCACAAAGTTGTGCAACCACCACTGATGTCTAATCTCAGAACATTTTCATTTCCCCAAAACTGAGATGTCTACGTGACAGAGCTATAGGATTACAGATCTTTTAAGGAGTAGCAGCAAATCTGCTACTGGGAAAATCTGCTTCGGTGAGGCAGGAAATAATGGTATTAATCTAATTTAAGGTACAGCTTAAACTGAACCCTACTTGGTTCTTGAGTTATATCATATACTCTGCAATATACCATCAAACCTTCAAAATGGCAATAAATATACAACTTAAAAGGTAACATGGGAGGGTGGGTATAGCTCAGTGGCAGAGTATGTGCTTAGCATGCACGAGGTGCAGGGTTTAATCCCGGTACCCCCATCAAAAAATAGATAAATAAATAAACGTAATTATCTCACCCCACCATAAAAAAAAAGGTAACATACATACACAGGTATAGTTAAGGAAATATGGTTTGAGAGTAAATAAAAATAATCTGAAAAACTCTCTTTACGATGCTCACACCTTCAGGAGAAGGCAAGATGTGTCTTTGTTGTTTTTCCTCTCTTGTCCTGGCTCTCTGCTCCCAAGAAGCTCTGTGTTTTTTCCTCCACTTGGAGCTCTAGGGTGAACCCTCTTCCTAGAGGATCTGCAGCTTCCCAGACCTCACACAACATGTGAAGCTCGCCCTGTGCTGGTCTCACTCTGATCCTGAGCTCCAAGTCCAGGAACTGCTCCCTGTGATTTGCCCTTTGCACAGCAGTCTCTGTGTTCATAACTATTAGGAAATCCAGATCTTGGACACCCTGGCTGCTCATTTTCGCTGATCCCCTGGGTAATTGTCCCTTGATGCTGCAGGTCAGACTGGCTCTGCCTGCCTGCCTACTAGATCCCAAGTCCCTGAGTCCCACCTTCTTGGGCTCAGCTTCCAGTTAGGCTGAGCTAGATAGATCTCTATGATGGCTGGATGCCTGCCAAGAACATCCACAGGATGGCATGTTTTCGGTGTGAATGAACCCTTCAGCCCCTCCCAGTCGGACCCCTCCTTTTCCCTACAGATTCTGTTCTGCAGTCTACCATCTCACCAGCAGCTGGGAGCGCCCCTAGGCCACCCAAACCCCTCCTGGTCCTCTGGCCCCCTACTTCTAGAATTTGGGCCTGACGCCATTCCCCAAGACCAAGTTCCCAGTAGTTGTGCAGTGGAAGCTCTTATTATTGGGGGCAATCCTAGTTAGGCAGTAATTTGACAAAAACATGTTCCTGCTTAAGTGTTTCAGAAGTAACCTCCCAGGGAAGGAGGGAATTTAGCATAAGGCTGCAGATTTTCAGTTAATGGGGTAATTCTGGCAACCACCTACAGCCTCCTCTCTTAGCCCTAGATATAGCAACAGAAGGCCTTCGGTAAGTGAGTTGAGATGTACAAACTTTTAGTTATCTACATTTTTTGTTTCCTAGTTTGCCTTCAGGATTGATCTGTTTCTTTCTAAAACAATAGAGCTTTTGAACCATCGTTGTTTCCATTAAGCAAATAAAGTAAAACCACTTTTAAAATGTCGATTTACTGAATAAAGAATACAGTCACATAATACAAAATTCAAAAGGTGCAAGAGGCTGTTGGGGAAGGATCCATCCCACTGTCTCCCGGCCACCTCTCCCCACAGGTAACCAACAGGACCATTTAGGGGCACATCCTCCTGGAGGCAGAGTACTCATCTGTGACCCCTTCAGGGTCTAATCTGTAGAAGAGCTGCCTCGGAGGCCAGCAGGGATCAGGTCTGTCGCAGCACTTGTGTTTTGGGGAACAATTTGATTTATGGTACTTAGAAGTCTTATAAAAAACCAGCCCAGGTACTGACAGGGTCCTACTATAGTTCTTAATCGATAAACTACAAAAATAATGTTTGGCTCACAGAGTTTACATGGACTAACTTCTGTTTCCTAACAGACTTGCCCTGAATTTTTAAGAAACAATGGAGTCTGTTTATAGCAAATACCCTTTACATCTCCCTCCCACCCCCTGCCATATGAATTCCTTGGAAAGCCTTAAAAAAGGACTTAAAATGGCAAGACAATACAGCTGACTTATCTGCCATCTGTTGCCTCACTTTCTTGCGTGTTTTCTATTGTGTATATACTTGTTTCAGGGCATACAGGCTGGTATTTAATTTTAACGGCTGACAAACTCTTTTGGAATAAGCAAGTCCACAGTCTGTGCAAGGTTTTGCAAAGCAGGGGGAAGATAATAAATTGTAAATCAAATTTTTATTTTATAAAGCTTTTATAAAAGCAAACTCTTCATAAAATTCCATGGATTGATTTCCTGATGCAGTACCATGTTATTAGGTCTAA